AAACCAAAAACATGTTGATTTCTTTTCTGAGGAAGAACTCAACACATATAGTCACTTAATTTCTAAACAAGTTCTCTCTTAAAATTTCTCTCAATTTAGCTGTAATTCAGTAAGTCTGGCTTATAAGTTAAGAGAAACAAATCAAGGTAAGGGAAAAGCTAGGTGCTGCCACAAGGAACCACATTTATATTATTAACAAGGCAAAAGTAAAACAAAATAAAGCTGAAAGAAAAAAAAACTCACAAAAAATAAAAATACAATGCATTTTCTCCAAGCTTGTCTGGTGTGTATGTATGTGTAAGAGAGTGGGGGGGGGGAGGGACACCTAACTTTAAATTATTTCAACAATGCTGGGCGGTGGTGGCACACGCCTTTAATCCCAGCACTCGGGAGGCAGAGGCAGGCGGATCTCTGTGAGTTCAAGGCCAGCCTGGTCTACAAAGCGAGTTCCAGGAAAGGCACCAAAACAACACAGAGAAACCCTGTCTCGAAAAACAAAAAAAAAAAAAAAAAAAGAAAAAAAAATTTCAACAAGAAAAGAAATAAAAGGGCAGAAGAGTGATCCAAGAATGAAAATAATGAGCCTCAAAGCAAGTCTTTCAAAAGCTATTCAACAGTAGACATCTAATGAAAGCTAACCTAAAACAATTCAGCATGAAAATACAAAGGAGGAGGAGGAGAAAGAAACAGCAGCAGCAGCAGCAGCCTCTTTCATTCAGTGACAGTGGAAATCCCTATCTGTCACACAGCTTTATGAGGATTTCACTTTGGACAGTGACATAAGTAGATATGCAAAGATATAACTAAGTCACTGTACCTGTCTTCTGAGCATAAATGGCCTTATGCCATATTAAGATCAATAGCAATTATAAAAATAAAAAGCTATACAATGTGGGTTTTAAACTACTCATCTATAGTATACTAGAAATACCTTTTTTCTGATTAAATCTGATACTGTTAATCTTCAAAAGGAAAAATGCTTGTGTAATGCATTGTCCAACAATCATTTCTCTCTTTTGAATTTTCATATAAATAAAGAGAGGCAAACAAATGAAGGAATGAATTACTGATGCCTTCAAAGTAGTCCCTGACAGGCTGGGATGTAGTTTATCAGCTCAGCACTTGCCTAGCAGGTGCAATGGTCTGAGTTGATTCTCTAGCACTGCAAAACCAAAGGAAAGAAAAGCCAGAAGGAAGGAAGGAAGGGAGAAGGGACAGAGAAGGAAGAGGGTGGTTGAGATCCACGGAGAGCTGGGAAGGCTTCAGTCAGACACATACAAAGTCAAAATCAGTCGAGAGTCCCATTTTTCTCTGGTCCTCTTTCTTTTTTGTTGGTTTTTCACTCTTCAGCAAGTCATGTAACTTAAATTTAAGACACATGAAACACCCATGTCCACATACATCACATGCGTCTTATTATTTCAAATTAGGAATTCCTGTGTTCTGGCAAACAAGCATTTCCTCTATCAATATTACCCATCTACATTAGACTTGCTACACAGATAGGCCTCTGAAAAGTAAATCTTAAAGCTTTTGTTGTCTGGATTCCTACAACAGTTAAATGCCACTTCCCCAAGCTCTGAAGGCCTTTCCTAACAATGACAAAAATTTACTTTGCCTTTTCTACAAATAGAAAGTTGCTACATATACCATTGTCTCACTCATACACACACACACACCATTGGCCCATAAGGAAGTTGTAACCTCATGTCTTACAATAAAATAGTTGTGAAACTCTGTTAGTTATTTTGAAATGGTCTGTAACAACGCCCATGAAATGAAGATTTCTCACAGACAATGCACATGCAAATGTGGGTGTAACTGGTTCCAAAAAGTACCTCTACCCAGTTGTGTTTTAAGGCTGGCAGGAGTTTGCTATTGAAAGGACTCACCAAAAATATTATCTCAATAAAGCCTGTCTTTTATCATTTTATGTCTGAAACTATGCTTAAAGGCAGCCTCCCATTTCTCACGCATTTCAGATGTGTAAAGGAGAAGGTATCAGGATCCAAGTATCAGGCAGGCTGCCAGCAACAATGCCAAATGCTACCTAATTCAGAACTGAGCAGCAGAGTAAAGACATGAAGTCTGTAACGGGTAAGTCTGAGGAAAACTGTTGGAGATGAAGCAAACACCAAAAATTAGAAGTTGGACTAGACAGCTCCTAGGGTCCTGTCGACATCTTATTTTATTATATTTTAAGTCAGTGGTTCTTAACCCAATGGTGTGACCCTTCAATACAATTCTTCATATTGTGGTGACTCCTCCAATCATAATATTATTTTCATTGCTACTTCATAACTGTAATTGTGCTACTGTTAAGAATCAGAATGTAAAGCCGGGCGGTGGTGGCGCACGCCTTTAATCCCAGCACTCGGGAGGCAGAGTCAGGTGGATCTCTGTGAGTTCGAGGCCAGCCTGGGCTACCAAGTGAGCTCCAGGAAAGGCGCAAAGCTACACAGAGAAACCCTGTCTCGAAAAACCAAAAAAAAAAAAAAAAAAAAGAATCAGAATGTAAATATCTGATATGCAGGATATCTGGTATGTGACCCCTGTGAAAAGGTGCTTCAACCCCCAGAGCAGTCGCTGCTTTAAGGCACCTGAGCAAATGAACACACGATTGGTTTACATTCCTGCCTATTCCTTGTGATTAAGCTGCTAAAACAGAATCTAAAAGCAGAAAATCAAGGCTGTGCTTCCTCTGATATAAGCACAAAGCATGGTTTAAGAAAAACATATTGCACTGGGCGGCGGTGATACACACCTTTCATCCCAGCACTCGGGAGGCAGAGGCAGGCGGATCTCTGTGAGTTTGAGGCCAGCCTGGTCTACAGAGTGAGTTCCAGGACAAGCACCAAAACAAAAAAAAAAAAAAAAAAAAAAAAAAAAAAAAAAAAAGAAAGAAAGAAAGAAAAAAGAAAAACGTATAGCAAATACAATGTAAAAATGATTTTTAAAGAAAAAGGCAATTCAGTTTGAATGAATATACCATGAATAAAACCTCAACCCCTATCTTGCCTTATATAAAAAAAAAAACCTAATTCTAGATAAGCCACAGATATCAGAAACCAAAACCATAACGCTTCTAGAAGAAATGTAAAAACGACAGGGCTTCATTATGCAGTGTAGATATTTTATTGACACATTCTATACCTAAGTATTTGTGCTCTATCCAACATAAATTTTATTTCGAGTTAAAAAAAAAACTCTGATAAACAATTAAAATTATTATGTGCAGTAAGCTTGCTTCACAAAGGAGTGCCATTTAGCAGTAATTCTGAAGCTATATTCTGAGTAGCCTAGCTTTCAAAACCTGAGTAATAGTGTGATGGGCAGATGTCTCACTGCTAAAACAAAGGAAGATAAAAATACAGAAGGTAAATGGACATAGATAGGGGAGTACTACTTTGTAGTAAACAGACTCAAACCTCAGAAGTACCAGTACCACCTTGAAGCTTTACTAGCAGTGCACTAGTATCTGTGTAAATATGTGCCCGTGTATAAGCTAGTTCTCTCTGTGTATAGGGATACACACACTTACACATTACCTAGACACCAGTGGTTAATACCAGAGACCAGCAAAAAGCACTAACCACTGGCTAAATCTTGGTCTTGGAATTCTGTCGTCATCAAATAAAGAGACCCAGGGCATCCTATAGGCATGACTGGCTATATGCCTGGACCAGAGTAACTAGAAAACCAGAAAGTGATCAAAGAGTGCTTGAACGTGTCAGGAGGAGGGCCAGCTTTAAAGGAGCAATCAGCAGCCAAAGCGAGACACTCAGGGAATCAAAATAAACAAAGGCAGCAATGTATTTATTAAATACTCCAACAAATAAAAACTTTCAGTTTGTACAGATCAATAACTGGGTAAAAGCGAAGTTTGTGATGTTAGAATATCAGCTAATAAATATGTGAGAAACAGAGAGGGAATCACCAGTAGCTGCTGAATCTAGCAGGTAACAATTTATTAAAGACCCTTCCATGGTAGCACATGCCTATAGTCCCACAATGTGAGAGGCCAAGGAAAGAGGGTTTCAAGTTCAAGGGCAATCTAAGCTCTGAAGCTAGACCCTACCTCAAAAGAAATGTAAAGAGCAGCATGCTTATATAATTTCAAAGATCTACCTACAACATGCTTTTTAGTTGCCAAGGGAAAATAGACAGCATCTAAGTGAGTAGACCCAGCTGGAAATAATTACACCAACTGACCCTGACACAATATTAGAACAAGACTTCTATGCTTCCTCATGAATGTGTATTAAAAATGCATACCAATAGCTAATCGAGAAAAAAATAAGCGACCCAAACCAAGAACATTCTAAAATATTGCCTTTGCTCCTAAAATTTATTAAGATTAAGACTATAAAGAAAAATTAAGAAAGGAAAGGATGTAGACCTGATTTAAAAAAATAAAATAAAATAATTAAAGCTATACAACAAACAATACATTGTTCCAATTAGATCCTGAACTGAAAAAAAGAAGAAAAAAAACATAAAAATGCTATATGGTTGATATTTTTACTCTCTATACATATAGGAAATATATTCTTAAAGTTAATAACATGTCCAAAGCCATACTGCTAGGAAAAATATTCTAGACAGCATTGGAAGCCAGCTCTGCTTGCCTTTATACTCAATGCTGTTAGCATTATACCCAATTAGTCAGGTTGCTACTAACCTGGCTAGCTGTATAAGAGAGTTATAATCTGAATTCAGTTAAAATTGGGCATTACCTCATATTAAAAAGAAATATATAAATGGATCCCCTAATTGTATCAAGGTTGGATGTTTCAAGTTATCATAGGAAACATTTACCCTATACAGGACCTTATTTTTACAGTATTATCAAAATACAAATGAAAGAAAACTATAGGTATGTGGTGAATGAAAATTACAATATGACCTGTTTTAATCTGCAAACACTGAAACATAGTAACAAACAAACTTACACTATTGACACAGCAGAATTCAAGCTTCCACACAACATGTCCACATACCTTTTCCTAGATGTGTGTTTATGCTCATGTACCTAGCTGTTCCTGTAAGGCTTTTGTGTTCTCTGTATGGTATATGTTTCTTTGTCTCTGGATCAATATATTCCTTTGCCAAACCAAAATCTATGATATGAATGACTTGCTGGGTTTTGTTTCCTGGTCTTCCTATTAAGAAGTTCTCGGGTTTCACGTCTCTGTATATCAAGTTCTTTGAGTGGACATACTCCATGCGAGAAATCTTAGTGGAAAGAGAAAAAGATTTTTATTTTAGATTTAATGATAAAACCAAGACAGAATTTCACAGTAAAAATAACATAAAAAAGAAAACAATTAGAAACTGTTTCAACCCTTTAAAGTTAAAAAGATGTCATTCTTCAGTTCCTTAAAGAGCATATATCTATTTAGGACTTAAAATGGATGTCTTTGCTGTCAAGGTCACAGGTAATTGAAAGTGTCTAATGTTAGAAATGGATTTCCTAGCAGTAAGTCAGACTCAGTCACCATTTTCAGAAGATGCTAGGTTATAAAGTTAAAAAAACTTACTGATTAAAAATAAAAACCTCAAACTCAAAACTAAAGAAACACTCATAAAATTAACATTATTCTTCCTCAGTTCAAGAATCAGGCAATTTTTATAATCAAAAAACCTTAAGAATGTAATTTCACCTTTAAAAAAAAAAGCATCAAAAAATTAGCATCATTCAGTATTCTTTTTCATAATAGATTTTATTTTTCCAGGTATTAAACACTTTAAAATCTTGAAACTAGAAAAATTTGAATTCCAACTATAATAACACATATATTTATATTAATTTTTATTACTATAAAGATAACTTTTATATTAACTATTTATATTAACTATATAAATATATAGGTATATTTATATAGTGATAAATAAACCATAATATAGTATATTTATATTAATATTTTCAGATTCTCAAACAATGTTTAACATACAAAATAATAAACAGCACTTTTAGATCTAAGGTTCCATTTGTGGTAATCCTGGTTAACAGTGCCATGTCAGCATACAGTTACAAGAGCTGTTCTAGTCTGTTTATTAACAAACTGTGGCACACACTCCTGTGACCCATGCCTTAATTAACAATATCTTATGAACATGTTCTAGGTCACAAAACTTCTTTTAATGCAGTTTTTAACAGCTACATATTACTTTATAACTATTCATGATTTATCCAATTCACCTGTTAGCTCCACACCACAGGGTGTTACTCATTATTTTACAATTTTAATCTATCCCTGTACATAAAACTGTAAGTGACCCAAATATTTCCAACATAAATCTGGAGAAGTAGAATTAGTGACTAAGTGAATAAAAACAATTCCAAGACTTCTATAGCATACTTATATTGGCATTTATGTCAAAACTGTCTAAAAATCATCTCATATGTTCCCTCATAGTTTCTCTGATATTTAAATACTGAAGTATACTTCTCATTAGATTCTTTTCTTATTAGGTCATTAAAGTCAACTTCCAAGATTAAAAACTCTTTTTCTGAGGATTTAAAGTTCTCATCTTACACAAGAAAAGTGTTAGAAAAACCTCAACCCTTGAAGTGAGCATTCTTTCCAATTAAAATATTAATTTTAACTACTAAAATGCACTTGACTCAGTAATTTTACATTCTATGCATCCTAGAAACACAATATAAAAAGCAAAAAACATTTCTATTATATGGGTCAAATGTTCCATATGACAAGGTCAAAAAACTTTAATAGAACTTTTAACTTAAATTTATGAAAGCCAAACATGATGGTGCACACCTGTAACACCAGCATTCAGGAGAAAGAGCAGGAGGATCAGTAGTTCAAAAACCAACATACACTACATTGGGAGTTTGAGACCAACCTCTGGTTACATGAGACTGAGTCTCAAAAAAACCAAGATATAGGCCGGGTGGTGGTGGTGCACGCCTTTAATCCCAGCACTCAGGAGGCAGAGCCAGGCGGATCTCTGTGAGTTCGAGGCCAGCCTGGTCTACAGAG